GTAACAGTAATAACATTGTAACACGAGTAATGCGGGTAACACTAGTAACACGGGTAACACCGATAAACTCTGACGGATCCCTAACAAAAACCTTGAGCAGCGCAAGGTGAAAAAGAATCAGCGAAACCGAGATAATATGTGTTTTATGAAAGCTCGCAAACATTTGGATTAATCATACAAATTCTTGAATGCTCGATAGATTTTCCAGATGGCTTAGATTTAGATTAGGTTTTTGAACAAAGCATTAATCGAAATCCATCCCCAATTTTCGAAATGTGGGAATTCGCGGAATTCTTATTCGAATTTTCAATTTCCTATCAAGGTCATTCCGAAGGTGATTTAGCTTTTTTCAAAAGAGGATAATGTCTAGTAGAACAAAGTCCATCGAAAGTTTTTGGGTGCATTTGCCAATTTGAATTTTTTTTTCCAATGATTGTTTTTTCCAGTTCATCCAGTGAATTCTCAGAAAATTGCCAAAAACTATTAGGTTGAACCAAAAGTTCTGTCGCACCATTTTCAAAAAATCATAGCTTCTTTCGGTCACGACGATTTTGCGCAATTCAAATTTTGTCTGAAAGCGTAAAGCATGTATTTTCCAAAAGCTCCCTGGAAATTTCCGACATGCTCAGGTGGCAGAGATAAAAATGAAAGAACGAGATCATCCGAAATTTGGAATTTTTAAGCAAGAATTCTAAAAATTCAGAAATTGTGCGATAACATCCAGAAAAGCCATTATCCTAGTTTTTTTTACATTTGATTACTATCTGAGTCAATTTTGCGCTGATCGAGCCCTTCTTTCAAAAGTTATGATTTTTTGAAAAATAATGCCGAAAAATCAATTTCCTAAAATTTCTTAAGAAATGGATTTTTTGGCATTTTTTTTCAAAAAATCATAACTTTTGAAAGAAGGGCTCGATCAGCACATACTTGACTCAGATAGTAATCAAATGTAAGAAAAATTAGGATAATGGCTTTTCTGGATTCCATCGCACAGTTTCTGAATTTTTAGAATTCTTGCTTAAAAATTCCGAATTTCGGATGATCTCGTTCTTTCATTTTTATCTCTGCAACCTGAGCACCTTGAAAAGTGCTCAGAAAACTCTTGGAAGCTAATTGCTTTACGCTTTCAGACAAAGTTTGAGTTGCGCAAAATCGTCGTGACCGGAAGAAGTTATGATTTTTTGAAAATGGTGCGACAGAACTTTCGGTTCAACCTAATATAATCCGTGGTTTTTGCTATGCTCAAGTATCGCCACTTTTGTATATTTTCACCGATCTCACAAAGAAGGTGGTTGGCAGATAGAGCTAACATTAAATGACACAAGAGTTCTTTTCCATAGCCTTTTGAGATTTTCCAATTTTTTTTCGATGCTATCAAACTCCGTATTTGGTCAACTCAAATATGAAAATCAACATGCGAGCAGCACTGGTGTCATTCTATGAAAATTTTTCTCAACTCTAATAGGCTTTTTTGTTTCCTATTGATGAAGTCTGCGGGGATAAAATCATCATAATTCATGTTTTTGAACGCTCCTCAGGCGTGTCCAAAAAATTCGAGATCAATATTTCAAATTTGCGAACGCTCATTGGCATTGTAAAGAAGTATAAGTTATAATCTATTATTAAACGGTTGCAAATTCGAGAGATTTATTGGTGTTTGATGGGTTTGCGTTTAAGACAGGCCTACTAAAATTCCGCAGTCTTAATAAAAATGCACAATTCTCTCATAAAACAATGACGGCCCATGAAGAAGAGAAACTAATGCTTCGTATCCTATGGGATTTGCTCTACCCATATCGCGGCTTTTTTCTGAGAGCTAAACTATTGAAATGGAATAAGAAATAACATTTGAAAGAGGTAATATTTTGATTAGGATAGGGTACCATTCGATAGAGCGAAGCAAGCTCTGCAAGATGATGTGCAAGAGTTCGCCCCAGCTTCGACCACACCTTCAATAGTCTAGAGACAGGGCTCAAGAGTGAAGGTTGTTTGAATATTTGCCACCCATAAAAAGAGAAGGCTGTTTGAAAACAGAGGAGAAAGAAAGATGCAAAACAAATGGCAAAAGCTGAAGAAACCTTTGGAAATCGGATGGAAACGCTGCAATGAGGTTAAATCTTTTATTTGGTAGCATTTCGAAGTGCAGGCTCCCGTTCCAATCAATCCAAAATACGGGAAAAACGAGGGAAAGCTAGTTTCTTTCTTGTGATCGTTTAAAAACGAACATTATTACGGAATGGTGATTTTCAGGAAGATTATAAACGAGAAAAGAATCAGTTTCCAAACGTATGAGAAATGGTTACTAATTGCAGTATAGGCCTAAAACAATGACACACTTTTCGCAGCTTTTTGCTAAATAAAAACCACAGTGGAAAAAGTTGGCTTTGCGACGTTGTCTAATTATGAACAGAGACGAGATCTATCGACGAAAAACCCGCTTGAAAAGAGCTAAACTAGAAAAGAAGCAAGAGATTCTCAAAAACACGGTTTTTGCCGATTTCTCGTTTAATAAAAAATGGAGTTTTGCGACGCTGTCAGTGTGAAAGTAGAGTTCAAGAGCTCCAATATACAGTTTGCTCGAAGTAAGTTTAGAACGACGCCAAAAGGGATACGAGAGCCAAATGCTCCGTGCCCCGCTTTTGAAGCAGCGAGATAGCGCGGGACGCGCGGAGACGCAGACGAGCAGAGGAGAAAGACCGGAAACGGCAGGGCATTTGCCTCTTGTCGTAGATCTCCGAAATTCGACGAAACCTTGCAACATTAAATATCATTCTGGTTGTCATGACACTACTAGAAGGGCTGTCAACTCGCCAGACTTAAACATCAATTCGAAAATGTCTTTTTGCTAAAATCTCCGTATGTTTCTTCCCAAAGAAACCAAGACTCGCTCACTGCTTTTTAGGGGCAGAAGTAGGGCATTACATGCTCTTAAAAGGGGATTTTTGTCAGACTGATTAACTTTCTAAGAAATCAAAGCGTTTTTTGCGAAAATTCCTTCTTGCCAAAAGCCCCTAGTTTTTTTCCGCTAGGCCAAAATTAGCAAGACTACATGCTTCCAAGCAGATTTTTTGCCAAACCAAATGAATTTCTCCACGAAACAGATGTGTTCTTGCAAGAATGTCTTTTTGCAAAAAGCCCCTAACTCCTAAATGTTCTTTCCAAAAGAATCAAGTCTAGTTTTTTCTTCTTTGGGCAGATGTAGTATTTTTCCGGATTACATGCCCCTAAAAAGTTTTTTTTGTCAAAATGAGTGAAATTTTTTTTGTGAAATAGAGTTCTCTACGAAAGTTCCTTTTTGCCAAAAGCCCCTAAGCTTAGTCTTTAAGCCAGGCCAAAGCTCGCTCGGTGCCCCATTTCTAGGAATAGAAATACGGTTTTTTATGATACATGCTCCCAAATTGAGTTCTTCTGCCAGATCAAGTGGATTTTCCTAAGGTACGAACTATGTCAATTGCTCCATTCCTTTTTGCGCAGGAATAAGGCATTCGCAACGCAAAGGCCTTGAGTACGATCGTTGAGGCTATGTTGGACGCTCATCCATACGCGCGCAAAAGTGACGCGCAGCTTTGGCGCGGCGACTACACGAATGGAAAAGGAGCAAGTGATTGACACAAGCTGTAATCGTTAAAATCTTACCTTCGGCTCCCGGATTGCTGCGAGGGCGGTCGCGATGGTCATCCGATAATCAATTTATCAGCTATGTTTCAACACAGGGCAAGTGCACCGCTGGGAGCCGATGGTAGATATATAAAACTGAGTGTCTGTTTGTATTCTGTCTGTAGGTTTGTATGTAGTATGTTCCGAATAGAAATTTTTATTTTTGAACCGATCCGGACCAAGCTCTGCACACATACACTTCGGGGCGGGGCGAGTGTCGTAGGCTACTTTTCGTCATCGATCGACATCGATTCTATCGATTTTTATCGATTTTTTTGTGAAGTTTGACCTGCGGGACTGGAAGTTGGCATAGGGAGATAATCGAGCATGCTGATTACGAATACAATACTAGTTTTCAGAATAGTCCATTACTTTTATCGACTTCATCGATTTTTTTGCAAAGTTTGAGTTACGGGGCAAGGAGTGGCACAGGTGGGGGGGGGGGGGGAATCGAGCGTGCTGATCACGAACACAACAATAGTTTTTGAGCAAAGTTTGAGCCGGGTAACCCAGCTAGTATGTTATGAGATACACCTGTGCCTGGATTTTTTTTGTTCACGGAAAACATCTCGTCAACCAACACAGTTGAATTCATGGCCTTGGCATATACCCGCGAAACCTGTCGATTTAGAAAAGTTGCTGTATGATCCAAAGCATAATACCATACGACGTATTTGTAAACTTTATGCAGTTCTAGCCGTGAAGGCCACGGCACGTCAAAGATACACTGCTTTCATACCATAATCACTCAATAAATCTCTGACAACGAAGAAGGCAAAACAATAAGCATATTAGTAATAATAAGATTCAGCATGAATCTTTGGTCCGCAGCGTATAACGCAATGACTAAGCGGACTAGTAACAGTCGCTTAGATCATTGACAATACTAATATGCACAAAATAAGCTCTTTCTTAGTCTCTAGAAATAAAACATCAAAGTACATATTAGCATATTAACAACAATGATGAACATTGTAACGACACACCGTCTCCTAACAAAAAGGATGGAAATGGTCAAAATTGATGTATACATCAAAAATGCTTCAGTTCATAAACGAGCTGGTGTCGGATCGGCAAACCGCACTTACATCAAAAAATTAAGAAAAAAAACTAATATCATATCTGTACAAAAGTGAAGGAACATAGCCAAAGCAGACTATTTTGGAAAGATTTGGGAATAACAGTACCCGGTTCATATGATGAGAAAATAAATGTGCAGACAGAATCATGTTTGATATCGAAGCCGTAACAATAGCTACGATGGGCTATGCGGCGCGTGCGATGCCTTTGAGTCGATGCTCATAAGCACATTTTTCGCAGCGAGTACATTATCGATCTGCTTAAGGGAGTCGACGCACGCACACGTCACACAGCTTAGCTGTTATTACAGCTGAAGATTTATAACACCATTTTATATCGACTCTGATTGTTTTCCGCAGTTATCTGCCACAGGCAGATGCTATGCTGGAGAATGTCCAATATTGCCCAAAAGTATTAGACTTCGGCCCTGTCGGGTATTTTACTAATTTCACTAGTATCTATCTTTGGCGGATCCTTTTCGTCATTGTCTCTTAGTTGTTTCTGAGGCTTTATCTCAGAGGAGTTATTGCGCTCCTCCTCCATTCTGAAAAATTATAAATTAGTGTAGTTTCGATTTCGTATAAACCGTCTTCTCGAATTATGCATCCGCCAACAAATCTGCTTACCTTGCATAGTTTATATCTGATTCCTTGCCTTTTGTTCTCCTTCTTGACGACATGTTACGCACCAACGTTGCTGAAATTGTAGAATTTATACACTCGTCTCATTGAAGCATAATTAGATTTATTTGATATCAAAAATGTAGAGGAGGAGTACAAGTCAGTGCACATTGCTTTTGAGGCAAAGCGCGTTTTTCCGTTGTGTTGCTGTAAATTTATAGAACGAACACATAGCCATGCAGAAATTTATACTTGAAAGAAGTGATTATTTTTATTGTTTATGGTATTTAGTGAGGACCGAAAACAAAAACCAAAAATTAATAGAAGTGACTGAGAATGACTCACAAATTCGTCTGACAAATTCGCCCATGGTCTCCTCAGGTTCTGGCTCTTTTGCCCAGTCCTATAATAAAGAACGGTTATTTTTTACACAAATACATCAGGAAATGATTTCTAGGTTTTTCTTTCAGAACGCGCGTAAAGCAAATAGGTGTGGCCAAACTTCCGGAGTACCTAAACCACCAAAACAGCGCCGTTCCAGCATTTTGCTAGCGCAATGCCACAGCTCATGTGAAGGTGCCCGTATCAGTCGAACGAACTCTGCCAGCACAATCTCGGCGCTGCACTGGCACGGAGCCGGCACGGCGCTGGAACGGCACTAGCACATGCTGATGTAGATGCTGCGCTAGTTCGCTGCACCCTAGGGAAGCTCCAGAGGATCACCGACATTTGAATAAAAGTTTTTGAAATATTAGCTCACCTGAATTTCTCTTTTACCAAAGATCAAAAAAAATGCAATGCCGGAAATGTCGATGCACATTGCAAGAAGGAAACAATATTTCCAGCCGCTTGGATCCTGCAAACAGGTTTCTTAGCTGTATTTTAAGCTACTTGACTTCAAAACATACATTAGCTGTAAGATGCTGGGTAATGTAGCTTTGCATACCAGCCAATGCGCCAATACCTGATAACCCCATAAGGATGGAGGCATAACGTGGAGCAATGTTGAAGCGGTTAACAATGAAGCCTGACGCATACAAGTTTAGATTTTTTGTGGGAGGGTAGGAGGGAGGAGGTAGAAATGATTTACCTGCTATGCTCATTCCACTGAGTTCCGCTGCGATGACTAAGCAAGTGACGGCAAGAGTCCGGTCATGAATGAATGCGAGCAAGGCTAGGAAGATGGCTTCTTCTCCGAAACCTAGGAGAAATTGGAAATAAATTTTTAGATTTTCCGAAAACGAGATTTTTTATAAAATAACAAATCTTCAATTTACCTAGCGTATTAAACATTTTCCTAACTGGGCCTGTATTCATTTTACCAGTTGCTCTCAGCCAATCTGCCTTTTGACCCGATGATAGCACCACGATCGTCATCGTAAGTTGTGGCAAAGCAGAAATCAATCCACCCTAAAGAGAAAAAGTCAAGGAGGGGTCGACGAGTGCGATGAGCATTGCCTGTGCTAGCGCTGTTAATCGGTCAGCATATAACACGTTCCTGTAGGAGCTGGCGCGGTAGTGGCGCGGCACTGGCACAGAGGTAACTCTGAACACAGCTTGAGCAACATACGTGTTTGATTTCCAGATGAAGCACATCTTTCATGTGTGTAAGTTGATGATTCATGAGATAGAAAAATGTCCTTGATCGACAGATGATACAGACGATGATTGCCCATAAAGGTAGCGAAAACATTATGGATTTCCATGGTAACGTAGTGAGCTATAAAAATTAAGTTTGAGAATTTTGTCAAATTTACAAAGTCAAAAACGTTACCGTCATGTTTCCAGTGGCCACTTTTCCAACTTTTTCGGTAATATAAATTCGTTCATCCTCAGTGATGTAATGATGTTCAGCTGGCGATCGCGCAGAAACCATGGACCATAAAATCGACCACAGTACTCGTGCGATTCCTGGAAAACTTTGAACAAATAGTGTATGGCTTTTTTTATAATCTGTTATGAGTATTCACTGAATACATAAAATGGTGTCGGCCAAGAAAAATAAATCAAAAGCCATTAAGGGGAAGCCCGATCATGACACCGACATAATTTCCACAAAATGTAGTTGTCGCCAGTTTTGAGCGTTCCAAAGGTGGAGCCTAATAGCGCCAGACACCGTGCGTTGCCGGGTAGATGACACCCTAAATTCCATGTTTCAGAATAATATTAGGTTGGTGCAAAAGTTTTGTCATTTTTTTTAATCCATCGTCAAACACGCTAGAATGAAGATAAACAGACATTTCAAAATGTATCCAATGCAGAATTTCTTCCTCTTTCCATCTGCTAAACTCGCATTATGTTTCGTTGCAGAGGTGACGAGATTCGCTGGAATTTGCAACCATTTGTTCTTACCATGTCCAACTTCCACTAATTTTCAAATCTGTGCTGCGCTGTGCTTTCACCAAATACTACTCAGAGCTAAGAAGCTTAATACGACCCCCAGGTGTGGCGTGCCGCACCCCACGCTTGACCCTGGCCATATGTTTTTCGCAAGAAAACTGAAGAGGGAGTCCTAACTAAGACACTGCCCAAACGGTGCGAGTCATTCATTCATGGCTGAAAAAACCCATTCCCAAACACTCCGCGCCTGCACCGGGGTGTGTGCCTTTTAGAACCGCTCTGACCCAGCGACAATAGGCCTGCTCCACGGCCACTGAGGCGCGCGCATGCGGTGCGTGCTTGGCACCGCCCAGACTGGACGAGCTGTCTGCCCAACATTTTCCACTATCTTTTCGAAAGTTATTTTGGCTCTTATTCGTCCAATTTACGTCTGATGATCTGATATTAACATATTCTGACTGCTGATATTCTGCTAATCAATTCTATTGTATACTACTTGGAAAGTTCCCGTTCCTTAAGCTTGTTCTCATGGTTTATGTGACATGAGCCTTGCTTAGAGATCTAGAACATCCAAAAACTATTCTATTACTATTCTGCTGTATTCCTATTCACTATTCTATGCTACCGCTAGACTTTAATTCAATTGGAATGCGTCGGTAAGTTTGCTTCTTCATTGTTGATTCTTACATCATGCTTCATGCAAGATTGTTCCATAACTCCACGCACGTTGTCATGTATACTAAGACATGAACCTTGCGTGAAGAGCTAGAACAATCAAGCTATGCATGAATTATCTTCTCCTATCATGATTTGGCACTATTCATTTCGCACTTCTACTGTATCTGGGTCAGAGGTGTACATCTCTCAATGCCTTTGGGAGGTTTATGACGTGCGAAAGTCTCACCGTGCCAAGCAGAAGCATATAAAAAGGGTACTTAAACAGTATGATCAGCATAATCTTTGTTGCTTTCGAGTCATCATGCTTTCTCACAAATTTTACATTGTTCCTGTCAACTCACGCAATGAAAGTCATGTTCGAAATGCTTCTACCCCGCAAGCTACTTTGCGCCCTCTCCTTCCGCGTCCAGCTCCTACCCAGCTTGTGATTCAAGCCCGCGCACCTCTTTATGTGCAAAAAATAATGCCAACAAATCCTCTTTTGATGCAATCTCCAGCTCCTCAAAGGCTTCTGATGGAAACACAAGCGTCCGATAGGCTTCTTTTGCAAACGCCGCAGCCGGACAGCCTTCTCGTATAAACTTCGGAGGCTTCCACAACTTTGACAGCACAATCGAGCTTCAGCTTCTCAAGCCCAGTACCAGCGCAGCCCCCACAATCACCTCCATCTAGCTACACCTTCTCAAGTCCAGTACCAGCGCAGCCTTCTAGTAGCGTATCCTCCCAGCCCGCAGCTTCTTCATCTAATATTTCAGATACAACAACATATACAGGGGAACGACAGGTAAGTAAATTTGGGAGGCACTATGTGCTAATATACCGAATTCCAGGGGGGCTAGGTGCTACACATTCGCTCTACACAAGAGGAAGAAGTTCTGTAAGGCCTTCAAGTGCATGTATTGTGCTAAAGCGGGATATCACACTCAAGTAGATGTAAGATGCCTACAACGTAGATGTTATGTCAATCTTGTGCTCTAGGTAGTCGATGACGAATTCGCAGTAGACCCTTGTATGTTGCCGCACCATTGCATTCCTAAGAAGTATAAAGCGAACTATGTGCAACGCTTTATGTACGAAAACCTCCAGAAGATCCGAGGCGACCCTCATTTCGAAGATGCAGTGGTTAGAAAAATTTGGCAGGATATGTTTGACGCACTCCCCCTGCTGCAGTACTACACTAGAGAAGAAGTCGAAGAAATTATGGACGAATTTTATGACATTGGTTACACCAAGAGAAGAAGAACGATAGCCAAGTCAGTAGAATTCGAAAACAAAATCAGATTCACACTCTACCTTCAGGGCTGTGCAAAGTCATGATTTACCGAGGGCTACTCTCGAAAACCAGCCCGACGATCTGACGAAGTTGGATGATGGAACACAGTTTCTGCAGCTAAAGCTACCAGGCTTATACGTATATTATTCGAGGAAAACCATACAGAAAGCCGTAGAGAATGGACTTGTTGCCCTAGTCGCGGATGGGATACACAAACTCCCTCCAGAAGAGCTTGGCAAGGACGGCCAACTGTATACCATCCATGGAGTTTGTAATGGTGGTATTGGTAAGTCACCATAGAGTACTTCGACGAGAAAAAACCATGTGTTAAAGGTGATTACAAATGATAAAAACAGTGAAACAATAATTGAATGACAACACCGGAGCTTAACAGCAAAGCAAACGAAAAAAGAACCAAAACAAAGGATATTGTGAGCTAAAATAGTAATTTCTTATCAAGTTTCCGCCAAATCTCTGATTTTGGCAAAATGCCAAGACTCTACGGCGTAATGCATCCAAAAGTGTACGAAGATGTGCGGCAAACAACTCGTCCAATTCTGCAGGTCTGGCGTCTCTCACGGCTAGGCTGCTCTCTCGCCTAGCCAGTCGCTGCCGCGGCCTCGACCAATCACAGCCGCGCGCTAATTACGCTGCCCGAGCTAGCGATTCTAGAGGGCCGTCTCCCCCTGCACCGTGGCCGTAACTCGCGAGTAACTAGGACGGGTCCCACAAGCGAAAGCAGGCGTGCTTGGAGGAGCAACGCCAATTGCTACTTACGACGGCGCAGGCTTTGAGGATTTTGGGCATTTCTTTCTCAGCCGTGAATAAATGACTTAGGCAGTTGGGCAGTGCCTTATATGAGACTCCCTCATCAGTTTCCTCACGAGAAAGCTATGGACTCAAACTTGCCTAGACGCTGCCTTTAATTTTGTACTTTTTGCGGTTGTCCAAAACGCTTGAGAGTTTTGTGAGCTACAACTTCTGGTTCGTACGTACGGTCCCTTAGGAGCGCAGCGACAAAGGGGCCACGGCGGTGCTACGTTTGGTACTAAAGTCACGATCTTGTCGTACAAAGCCGAAGCTGTAGCTCGCAAAACCCTCGAAGTGTTTTGGATAACTGAAAAAATGTTCAAAATCAAACAGAAAAGAAGAGCGAGCCGTGAGAGCGCATAACTGTGACATAAGCGCTCGCATCTTACTAGGCCGTATATGATTTCACTTTGATATAGTATTGATCTTTCCAAAAAATTTAATATCTTATATATAAAGCTGAATGTCTGTTTGTCTGTCTATCTGTCTGTATGTACGTATGTTCCGAATAGAAAATTTTATTTCTGAACCGATCGGGACCAAACTTTGCACACATACACATCGGGGCGGGGCGGGTGTCATAGGCTACTTTTCGTTATCGATCGATATCGATTTAATCGATTTTTCGCAAAATTTGGGCTACGGGGCTGGGAGTTGGCACAGGAGGGGGGGGGGGGGGTAATCGAGCATGCTGACTACAAATATATTATTAACAGGGACGGGCGGAGCCGGGTAAGCCAGCTAGTATATTTATATTCCTGAATTATATATCATGATACAATATAAATATAATACTTTTTTATATCTATAATATAATTTTTTGAGCTAGCGTAATATCATTTTCATATTTCAATATAATTTTGAATCTAACTCAGTCAGATTGCGTTGGCAGGCTGCGGGCCCTCTTGTCTCAAATATGCGCAATATTCGCAGTGCCTAATCAATTCTTCTATTCTTCTCATACGGTGATCTTGGCTCCAAAAACCGCTGTATCACGGTAAGCGTTGCTTTGTCTTTCCTCTCATAATGTTTTTGATTTCATTTGATTTCTTGAATTGATCGCTGTGATCAAATGCGGCGTTTGAGGGGATATGCCATTAATTGGTTATTGGATTCCAGGCTCGGTCAAGGCGAAGACGCTGAAATGTTGGCCATCAAGAAAAAATCTTAACGTCTTGGCTTCATACTTCTGAGTCAGAAGAGCAAATTAAACTTACTTGGTGAATAAACTCGATAGAAACCAGAAATAATTCATATTTCTGGAATGATATTAGGACAAGTAAGATAGCGGCATCGAGTTCAACTTGACAGCAGCTTTTTTTGATTTGCTTATGGCAGAAATGCACATAACATTGCTCCATTACTAGAAATCAATTATGGCGAGTCAAGTTTCGAGAACAACACCATGTTTTTTCCATAGCTATTCTAAGGTTTAAAACGCTATGTACGTAGGTAATCTTCAAGATTGCTATGAAAACAATAAGCAACACTGTTTTCGTTTACTTCAGCAATCATCTACCGTCACTACCAAGGTTAAATTGTGCTATATAAAGTGAGCACGCGAAAACCTATGAGCTGTGCTGAATCACGGAATTCTCACACACGAGGTGCATATTATTTTATTTAATGGAAGACTAAATTTGCATAAACACGTTTACAGGAGTTCCTTATATCACGTACAACTGTTAGCAGCGTATGGTTACTGTTTGCATGTAGCAAGTGAAAATGTTACGATTTCGCTCTAGAAGGATGCTACTGCTGAAAACATTTTCACCGTGTGCTCAAATGATAAGGAAGTCTGCGATGGTTTTCAAAATTGCCATACTTAGGACATGAACGGCAATCATCGTTGCCAAAACGGTTTATGTCAGCTATAAGTGAAAAAATGGGAGCCTTGGATCCGATATTTTTTGCAAAATTTGCTTTTACATCAATCTGCAATAGTTCGTCTTTTGCACCGAGATAATAGATATTATGGACGTAGCGTTATTTCTCATTGTCTCATTGTCTTCTTTTCAAAACCTTCACTCTATTTTTACGATGCAGAATGCAGATTTTTCCGTGATTTCGTGCTGGATTCATTGCCAAGCATAAAATTTATAGCAGAAAAGTTTTGATAATGGATTATTCAACAAGAATGTCTCTCATATAGAGGATTTAGTCAGAATCATCAAAAAAGTTAGCCACACATAAAATTTATGTCAAAAAATAGCTGAAACTTAAAAGGAGTGATTTCTACGTCCGCAAATAATCTTACGTTTCATTTTCTGTTGATAACATTCTCAGTTCTAAGAGGTGCTTTTTACGGCGATTCGTTAAGTCCTTCTATCGATTTATTGATTTGTTTAGGTTTTTCTGAGGAATTGAAGGCTTATCATGTTTAATCAAGCATTTTTAATCATGTAAAGGAGGGCGGTGAAGCTCATTTTCAACTCAGGATCACGAGGGTGCGGCTCGAAGCGGATGTCCCCAGGTACAGTCGATTCGTTTCATATGATCATGTGTGATACTGCAAGCACAGTCCACCTTTGGCGTCCTCATCCTGGATCTGCTATCGCAAAAACGCAAGAGACTTACCGATATCTATCAATTACGTCAATTTGAGGTGATTAAAACCTATAAAGGAAAGAAAGTGCTAAGAGAACATTGAAAACACCTACCTAGAGGGTTGTTTCCTTCAAGAATCCAGGATGGGAACGCCAAAGGTGGACTGTATGTGCAATGACACATATGATCATATGAAATGAATCGACTGTAAGTCATCCATAACATATAAGGGGGGGCTTGCAGTGCAGGTGAACGGAACGGAACAAGGCCCGGCTGGACCGGAAAAGCCAACTAGTCACTTATAAAAATGAGATTCACTCTTCTCCCAGAAACCTCAAACCGGCGCCTTAGAAAGTCCAACTTCGGTTGAATTTCTGAGACATCTCTTATAGTTGTGCATCTATCTCGTGTGCCAAAACTTTTGTTTTACGCATGAAAAAGGCAAAAAGTTTTGAAATGCGCGATTTGTGGCGCATTGAAACCCCAACAAAGTCATACTTTAGTCCTCGTTTCCGAAGGTAAAAAAATCCTACCTTATAGCCCAGGTACATTGTGCAATTGTAGATCTAGTGACATTCAAGCATCTCCACTGCAGCGCTGATCCTTTGGTGGCTGCGCCCGTCTTACGACGTAGATACTTCTCAGAGTTTATAGTTGTTCGAAGTGAATAGCTTCCCGTTGACAGTTATAGAAATTACTGCACATATAGTCGTCCTCCCACTAGTCGCCTTGTGAATGAAGTGGATGAATTCGAATTTGAATTGAGGCAGTCCGGTTGCGCTAGAGCGCGGCACACTCAGCCATCAAATCAATCTTACACATGTTTTATTTCTGTTTTTCTTCCTGTTAGCTAATGTTCCTTTAATAACGTTCTTTTGTGGTTTAGCAATTTCTCAGACTGCTATGCTCGTTCTTCAATCTGAGTGTAAGTAAACTTAGAAAACGATGGGGATTAGGACTTGCTCATTTCTTTTTGATGAGTAAGATGTGCTGTAGAGTTGTTTCGATGACATGTTATTTATAGTCATCCGCATCAGGAGTTGAAGAAATGAGCATAGCCAGTCTAAGAAACGCTAAATCACAGCAAAGACGTCAACCCTAGTATAAAGCAGTATTGAAGCAAAATTAATATTATTATTATTTGAGCATCCAGTGAACGGGAGAATCAGTCATGGAGAAAAAAGGAAAGAAAACATGTGTAAGATTGAAGTGGAGGCTGTGTTCCGCTCTCTAGTGCACCGGCCTGCCCACTTCAAATTCGAATTTATTCATTAGACGACTAATGAATTGACTCAAACAACCGAAGGGATACCTCCGGAGGGCAAACAGTGCGAGCCTCCCACTTCGCACTCTGGAGCGCTCCGGAGCCCTGCCATTTCACCCATTTTGGTGCTCCGGGGCTCTCCCAAATCTGACGCACCTCCGGAGCAGAGATTTGCGCGTCCCGGAGAGGGGTCCCATTCGCCTGCTTGTGACGTCACCGTGACGTGTGTCTTGTGACGTCACCGGCTGAGGTTTTGGCAAGTTTGTAGCGTTATTTACAAAATTCAATAATTTATCAGCTTTCGGCATCTACATTGGCAAAATAAAAGATGTAGACCGCTATTAGGACTTCACGCAGTTTATGTGTACAGTATTGATGGCTTCAGTAGTAAAATAATGCCGTATTGAAGCAAGACAGGTGCACCCATATTTTACGTGGCTCGGCAGTGGTGCCTTATAAGCAAGCTGTATATCATTTTTGTGGCACTAAAATTAGGTTTTTTGTAATCGTCGTTTGTTAGTCGATTCGGACATTTGGGTAAGGCTCAAAAGGAACTTCGTAAAACTTCGCGAGAGTCAGGGAGCTTCGTTTTTTGCGTTTTCGGAAGGCCACTTTGTGGCGAGCCGTGTAGAGGCACAGTAGAGTATTTGGCTGGGGGCGAGTGTGAGAACAGAAGAAA